ATATATATATATATATAAATAAAAGATTATCAAAAAGGTTAAGAGCACACAGTCTTGGAGTCAGACTACCAGGGTTCACATCCAGGCTTCAAGGTCAACTAGCTGCCAAGTTACCTCAACTCTCAGAGTGTCTGCTTTCTCAGTTGTAAAATGGGAATAAAACTTCACAAGGATGGTGTAAGTCTTAAATGAGAGAAGCTATAGGATGCACCCAGTGGACCAGGCACAGAGGAAGTGAGCTATTACTGCTCTTTCCAATAAGAGCAGCACAGCAGGAGTACGCTGCTGAACTAGGATGAGCTGATGGGAACTCAGCACTGGCCAGCCCCAGCCGCCTCAGCCCAGGACTCCACTGCTCCAGATCTCTAATGCCACTGTGATACTTAGAGAGGCAGGTGCTTGCACTTTGGAATTCTGAAGTGCTGGGACCATAAATCCTAGTGCTGTATTGTTACCCTTTGAAAGCACTTTCATAGCCAGCATTTCATTCAATTTTCTCAAATGCTTCAAGTATGAAAGACATTATTTCCCATTCATAGATGAGGACAAACTCAAAGTGGTTCAAGTACTTTACTCAATGGTCTGCACAGGTGGGAAGACAGTACTGGGTACAGGCCTGTTGGTGTGAGCTGATGCTAACACGCCGTCTACCACAATCAGCTCCTGGAGAGCAGGTTTGATGTTTTTCAACTAAAGACACAGAAAATTCCCTATACAATAGCTGAAAGGGGAAAGAAGGAATCAGATGTGTCCATAAAGAACTCTTGAATTTGAAATGCAATTTGATTAGGCTTTTCATTTTAAATGAAACAGGAAAGAAAACTTCAATTTTCTATCAGAATAGTTTTAATTTTCAAAGTATTATCCACATTTTCTCACCTTTAAGTTGGGCTACTTGACTCTTCAGAGGTCAAAGAAAAATTCCTGTGGAATTCATTTGTTCCTAATTTTTTTCATTAGTCATACATAAGCAATAATAAACATCTTGAAATAGACTAAAATATTCACGTTTTTAAAGAATGTTTAAAGTTCTAAGAGAAAGTAACAGGTAATGATTCAAAATATCATTTAATAAGTGAAGTGAACATGCTACCAATTTTTTGAAAGGGCAGTCTAAAGGCCCCACTTGTAGTTAGTCTGATTAAACTTGAATCACAAAATGAATAATTAGAAACACATCAAGTTACAAATCAGAGGCTAAAAAAAATTTAGGCCTAGGTGTTTTGTGGTCCATCTGCCTCTGTCCAGAGTCTAGCTATCCCGTAAGAAGCTGATCAGGTTTTGCAGTTCACTGGCCGTAAAGATCGATTTCAGTTGCTCCTGCCACTGCCATCACTGCCACCACCAGCAGCCCCTCTGTTCTCCATCTCATTCCTGATCTAGTCGCCTCTAAAAGTCTCAATGGCTGCTTCTGTGCTCCAGCAAGGGAGAACAGGTCAATATCCTGAGCAAGTCTTATCCAGAAGCAGTTCTCTGGTACCTGAACTGATATAAGCCAGGGATTCCACCCTGGCTTCAGCTGCAGCATAGCAGTGGACCCCTCTGATGTCCAGGATACAGGGTGAGACCCAGTGATATTTTGCTTCTCAGACTTATACAGGGGAGACCACAAAATAACTACTAGGCAGCAGGGCAGAAACTGAAAGCCACAGCAGCCAAGAGCGCTAACTTCACCATTTCCTCACAACAATCACAGGTGACATAATCCTGGAGGGGAGGTGGTGATGGCTGTCATGTCTTCACAGTGACCACAGTGTCCAAACCCCAAATTCTTACACATCATCTTAAGAAAACAAGATCTTATCCCATTTTCACAGGTAAAAGAGCTGTGGAAGAAAGGGCTGAAATTCTGAAATTATAACATTTCCAGGATATTTTAACGGTTTATGGAAAAAAACACTGTATTTAGAAAGATTTGATGCACACGGCTAACTAAGCATATGGGGGAAAAATGAACACTTAAAATATATCCCTTAAGCAGAAACTTTTTATGAAATGTAAATACTTTTATCAATGTTTTTAATGCAATTTCTCACAGTACACTTAAAATCAGTCCCAGATTAGCTATTTAAAAAATCAATAATTGATAGCATATTATTTTTCTAGGTCTTTGGGCTAATATCTGTGACAGATTTAAAAACAATACGGCTTCAGCCAATATAAAATGTAGCTCCTGTGCTCTGTATTCCCATGAAATAATATATTGGGGCAAAAGTAACCCAAAGCATGAGAATAGAAATCAGCCTATGAAGAGAAGGATGGTATAACTATCCAAAGTGTACAGCAAATTGATCACAAGGGCAAACCCTATCAATGCTTAATAAATAATTTATAAAGTAATATTTATTTATTTATTTTTTTTTTAGTAATTTTTTTTTTCAACGTTTATTTATTTTTTTTGGGACAGAGAGAGACAGAGCATGAACGGGGGAGGGGCAGAGAGAGAGGGAGACACAGAATCGGAAACACGCTCCAGGCTCTGAGCCATCAGCCCAGAGCCTGACGCGGGGCTCGAACTCACGGACCGTGAGATCGTGACCTGGCTGAAGTCGGACGCTCAACCGACTGCGCCACCCAGGCGCCCCAGTAATATTTATTTTTAATAAAGGACTAAGAAATAGAGAAAAAATGTGATTGCAATGGCATTATAGGAAACTTGCTAAGGCAAAGAATTCAGTGCAGGTGGCTTACTAACAGCAAGTCTTAGAGCCACTGTCCAGCACAAGTGAAAAGTCAAGACCTGTCTGTGTTTTGGGGGGTCAGGGGGCAGGGGACAGGACATGTGTATGTGTTGTAGGCAGGGAATATTAAACAGAGAGAGAACTCAGAAACAAAAATTTCATCTTGGCTCGGTATATGGCCAACCATATTCTCTACTCATATAAGAAACTTCTACTCACTTGCTTTTAGTAATTAAAATCTGTGACATTCAGTATTTTGGGGAACCTTCAATAAGAATAAAGCATTATATTACACAATTTAATTCTGAGCAAGTTGCTGTATTTAGAGATAAGATGACTTTCAGACACTGATGGTTTTAGATTTTATCACCAAAACTTGGCCCAGGAAGTAAGAGGGAGAAGAGAAATCAAGAAGTTTGCAACATAAACCTTTTCTCTTGGATGCCCAAAGTGTCTTTATGGATCTAATCCCCAGAACGGAAGGCTCTGTTCTCACACATCTCTGGCATTATTTAAAACTCCTAGAGAATCCTCTTGCAGTGGAGGAAATGTTCTACCATGCATTTATAAAACTGCAGGATGATTTCAGTTTGCATTGTGCAAATTGACAGTCTACCTGCCTTATTCAGTGGTAACAAAAACTTTTGCTAGTTATCAGTCACAATAAGCTAAAGGAATAGTGCTAATTGCAACTGAGACTCAAAAGAACTTTGCTCTATTTCTCATCACAGCTGTGTCTGTGGATAAATCAGGTGCTAGCAGCATGTAGTAAGTGCTCCCAAATATCTGAATAGCTGATCCCAACATTCAAAATCCAGGAACTGTATGGGTTGTGATGGAAGCAGAAAAGGTCAAGTATTCTTCAGTACCAGGAATCCAAAGACAAACAGTGATTAGTACTGGATGTGCTCAGCAATGAATTAGAAGCAGCTTCAGTTCTGTACATGATGAATAGCAATGGGCAAGAGATTTTCTGTGACTATGCTTCAAGTTGGTACAATCACAGTGATTAAGTCAGTTAAAAAGCCTTATTCCAAACCTACCTGAAAGTCATATTCTTCTAGAACTTGAGCACCAAGCTATTAGATTAAAAAGAAAAAAAATTCATAATGAAATTCATACTTTCTAGGAATTGCCAACTCTGTCCAAATTATGTGAAAAGAACCCCCGCAATACAGTTAAATCTGAATTTTCAATATCAGGAAGCAATACAACTAAGTGTCACTGAACAATGCATTTTAAAGTTTTAAGTAAAAAAGAATGTATACATATGGGCATTTATGGAAAAACTTTACAAATTTAGGAAAAAGACAAAAGAGGGCTTTGTTCGTTAGAAGATATCCCTGGGGATATCCTTTCCTTATACAATTAAAGCTAAACCAAAAAAACCCAAAAAACAAAACAGCTTTTAACAGTATAGTTACCAAAAATTAGATTCAAAGTTACTTTCAAAACTCTTCTCTAACCATAGCTGTTAAACACGAACATGCTAATTACTCAGTCCTAATTTTTCTCCACTTTGCAAAATACTATACTCCCAGTACAGTTACAGGCTTTAAAAAAAAGTAAGGATTTTCTCATCATTTAATGTCAGTTAATAAACATGATTCCACTTTTCTAGGCCTTCATTGATTTTCATTTGTATGTCTTGTTAGGGCTGATATCCAGGTTTAAAATTTCAAGAGTATGTAAGTTCACAAAAGTAATCATTTCAGTAATTAGAACTAAATACAGCCACAAGCAGTAATTTTCAAATTAAATTTTTGTAAAGTTGTTAGATCTTTAAGGGAACCAAGAGATTATGTAAGTTACCTCTTCTTTTCACAGATGAGAAAACCAAACCCAGAAAACCAGCCCTATGTCCTCACAAAGTGATGAGAACCTTGATCTATGTACTACCAGTGATATGCTTAATCCCATATCACATAATTCTGAAAGTTGTGTTTTCCATTATTCTAGTAAATAATTTCAAAATAATAAAAAATAAATTCCTCTCAAGATGACACATAATCTATATACATTACCTTTCCTAAACTAATGGTAATTAGTAAGGTAACCTTAACCTTGAGTGTCTTAACCTCATCTTCATTTGTACAAAGTTTTAACTGGTCTTCATAGTTATTTGCAGCAATATTACTGACAGTTAATGAGTACTTAAAAAATTTTTTTTAATGTTTACTTTTATTTATTTTGAGAAAGACAGAGCACAAATGGGGAAGGGGCCGAAAGAGAGACAAGACAGACAGACAGACACAATCCGAAGCAGGCTCTACGCTCTGAGCGGTCAGAATTAAGCCTGACGTGGGCCTTGAGCTCACAGGCTGTGAGATCATGACCTGAGCCGAAGTCGGATTCTTAACTGACTGAGCCACCCAGGCGCCCCTACTGAGTACTTTACTGGGTCAAGAATCATGCTTTATTATTTCATCTCATCACCCCACTCACACCATTTTTGAGGTGAGAAATATGAGGGTCAGAGAAGTTAAGTGACTTTCCCTGAGTCCAACGGTATTAGGTGGCTAGCAAGTCTGACTCTTAGGGCCCAGGTTCCTAATCACTACAGCCCAGTGTAGTGCAGTTCCAAAACCACATTCAGGTTCAAAGTGGATGGAATTTGTTTTGCAGGTAAACACCTCCCAATCTGTGGACCTCTGCAACTGTGGGAGCTGCTGGCCATGCAAGAGTCGTAGCTTCCAGAAAGACTTGTGGCTGCAGACTACCTTGCACCAGCTCTGATGTAACTCCTTCTTTGGGCCTCCTGTTCCACTTCCTAGCACACTGTGGTTACCTGTAAAACTACAAAAGCTTTTTATTTTGCCCTAAGCACAGAGATCTAAGGATTGACCAGTGGGAGCAATAATGAAGCAGAGAGCTCTGCACGGCTCTCTGGGCAGAGACAGAAATCTTGTCCACAGGTTGGTTCCTGAGCCCGATGTACACTCTACTCTCCACCCATTTAGAGCTATTTGAACTATACTTGCAGTTCACTTATCAGCAGAGGGCCTGTGTCTGTTCCTCCTGCACCTCATGAAGTCTCCCTGTAAGCTCCTTTTACCTGTTTCACAACTCTGCATTCTTCAGAACTTGGCATGGACCTCCCATTTCCCTGAAAACCCTCCCTACACCAGTCTCACTCCCAGATGCCTAAGAGCTGCACAACCCTTGTCATCAGTAGACTGTTACCTTGTTAAACTCCTTTACACGCATCATCCCTCCTGGGTCCCTAGCACCTTGGAGCCTGGTTCACAGAAGTCACTCAGAGTGCTCTTGAAGACACGGATGGTGGCGGTGTAAGGGGAGATGACAGCACTGGTAATGGACATTCACCCTGGCATGTTTACTACTCTAGCCTTTGGTTTTTCTGGAAAGAGTATACAAAGACTAGACAAAAAGATATTTCAAATGACCCCACATCTGACAGGCCTGTCTTCCTACAGCCCATCAGCTTCCTGGGACCTTGCCTGAGGAGGCCAGGCAGCTGATATAAACCTTGTGATGATGTGCCCAGGACACAGTCAAGCCCTGTGATTGCAGCATTTCAGCATGTTTGTTCTCCTACGGGAGATGGTCTTGGATTATTCCCAAAGACAGCAATACATTGTGTGGCACCAAAATATTCTCCCAACATTGCACCTATGAAATTTTCACATAACCTGAAAAATCCGACTCACTTTATAATAACGTACACTTTACAAACAACTCTTCGTAAACACCATTGTTCAGTTAAGACGTGACTACATACGCAATCACAGAGGAAAAACTGAAGAGGTTTAAAAGCGGCAAATCTAATTCAGATACTGAGGAACTTTAAATCAGAGTTCAGCAGAATTCACAATACAGTATTGACTTCTGCAAAAAGCCACACTTATATTTAGTGGAATACCAGTAATTCATTATTGCAAAGGGAGTAAAAACATATTGAAAACCATTTCATAGTGGAGATGAGGAGTATTCCAGATGGAGGAAACAGCACATTGAAAATAAAGACGGTGTCCTGAAAGGGGGAGCTAAGAGGGGAGCAGACCTGGTCACCAGGGGCTTCTGAGCTAGATTAAGGAGTCTGGACTTTATTCTGAGGATGAAGGAAAGTTCCGTGGACAGAAGTGTCAGGGTCATACCCTCACTGTAGAAGCCTCACTCTAACTACAGTGTAGGGAAAAGACAGGAAGACATGTCTAAAAGCAGGAGGCTGGTTAGGAAGGAGGGTTTGCAAGATCGGGATGAGGTGACAATAATGTGACCCTGGATTAGCAGCCGTAGGGTGAATTCCAAGGCTAGCAGGGAACTGGCAACAGTACAACTGGAGCTTGCTTGGATGCTGAGGATAAGAAAGCCAGAAGAATAAGAGCGCAGCAATGAGGGAGATGATAGCAGGAGTTACCAACAGGCACCCAAAACAAGCAGGAGAACTGAGGGAGAGGATAGAGAAGCTGGGGGGCAGGGTGACAGGGATTCAGTGTGGACACAGGGCTACAGCACCTGCCGGAGCTGTACCTTCTAGAGAAACTATCCCAGAGGCAGTAGGATGCAGGGTTCTGTCAATGAAGCCAAGACATTTCAAGGACCAAAATCAATAAGAATGAGTCAGCAAAGATATAGTTAATAATCTCCTGATATATCCTTTCTCTCTAGTTAATGTCTTTCTTTTAATTTTGAAATGTGGCTATTTAGGAGTTTAGGCCCTTAGTGCAAGAAAAAGATCTGGAATAAAGAAATGTATCTGGGAACTTCCAAATATCTGAGAATTTAGTATGTGATAAAGGGAATACTTTTAATCAATAAACAGTGCTGGGACACCTAGTTAGTCATTTGTAGACAATGAAGTTAGACCCTGTACCATTCCTTACAACTTCAGATGGATCAGAAATTAAAGTTGTTTTTTTTTTTTTAAATACATAAAAATATTAGAAAATGCTGGTGAATTTGTATAACTTTACAATAGGGAATAGTAAGAACCATTACTTATACGGTGTTTACTGTGCACCAAGCACTCACTGTCTGAAGAGCTATATAAACACTCAGTCCTCATTGTAACTATGAAATGGTATCTTCATCTTACAGTTAAGAAAAGTGAAATGCAAAGAAGGTAAGTAACTGCCCAGTTACACTACCTGGCAGTGGTGACACTCTGACTATAATTCATGCATCTGCACTCTTCAGTACTACACAGCACTGCATCTCTAGAAGGCCATGCTATAAGACCTAAATGCAAAAATAATGAAAAGAAAAAACTGAAATCTGAAAAGACAAACTTCCTTTGTGGAAAAACACTCTTAACTGAAATTCATAACATAACACAAAAGTGGAGAAAAACAATTGCAATACATGTCAGAGCTATTCTAACATACAAAGGGTGATCACAAACCAACAGGAAAAAATAAACAGTTCTTACCCATGTATGAAAGAAAATATACCAAAGAAATATGAAACTGTTAATAAATATGACAACTTGTCCAATAAATTATTATGACAGCTTGTCCATAATAAATATGGCAAGTTGTACAATGATGTTAAAAAGCTAAAAAATGCAAATTAAAATAAGAAACCATCTTTCATCCAGACTGGCAAAAAATGAAAGATGGATGATGTCCAATGATAGCCAAAATGTGGGGCCACGGGCACTCTCACATACTGTGAAATAAACAGAAATAAATATAAACTGGTACAATGTTTGATGATGCAATTCAGCTATACAATCAAATTTTAAATATCCATGTCCTTTGACTCAGCAATTCCACTTCTGAATATTTCTTTTATAGAAATAAATTCTCTAATACATAAAAATGCATATACGATGGCAGTCACTAAAGGTTAACATAACAATCCAAACACAAACAATATAAATGTCTAAAAACAGGAAACTGAGAAAAAAATAGAAAACTGGCTAATGAGACATTCATATAACAGAATATTATTCAGTCATTAAAAAGATAGCTCAGGGACGCCTGGGTGGCTCAGTCAGTTAAGTGACTGACTTCGGCTCAGGTCATGATCTCTCAGTTAGTGGGTTTGAGTCCTACATTGGGCTCTGTGCTGACAGCTTAGACCCTGCAGCCTGCTTCAGATTCTGTGTCTCCCTCTCTCTCTCTCTGCCCCTTCCCCGCTTACACTTGGTTTC